CGTCGTCGTTGTCATCATCATCATTATTACCGGTCGAATTGTGTGTCTTATTTCTATTTAAGAAAAGTGCGGTCGAATTTTTGTGCTGCTCTCTATTTTGCCGTAGATGTATGTACGTATGTATTGCAGTCCTCTTTTCTGTGTGCATTTTTGGATCTGTGATTTGTGTTTGTTCTCTGTAGGTTGTGCGTTTGTGACTTTTGCGTCCCGCTCATGTGCCCTTAACGCAATCAAGGCAATGAACCATTCTCAGACAATGGAGGTACGTGTCGAACGCGCTTTTTGTGTCCTACTTTACATTTTTGTTCGTTTTGTCGCCTTACTGTGTCACCTTAACTTGCGGTCGACGCTGTTAAACGGGTCGGGTACGGCGCCGACCGTCGTTTGTCGTGCATGTTTTTTTTTTTAAACTCACGGTACGTTGCGTTTCGCTGCTCATGTTACACCGTTACGTCAGCCGTTGTTTCGTTGCCACATTGTGTGGCAGGCAGGCATTTGAGCGGGCAACTAGGTGTCCTTGGTTTCGGCCCATCCCGCCCTCTCCGCCGGCTGTCCACTGTTCTTGTTCTGGTGTCCGGTCTCAGACGCTTTTGTGCGACCGTGCGGCGATTCGCCCCTTCGCTATCAGGCAATATTCGATATATGTGCAGTTTATTCAACATCATGCTTTTTCTTAAAGTTCCGTGCTCTGTTTGCACATTAATATTATAACAGTCGTGATAATGGCCATCGTGCCTACCTTCAAACCAGGATCGTTGAGTCTCACAGTTGAGAAACCGGTTGTTCGGTTCGAATTAATGCACCTGTTCTTACCTGGAGTAGGTTCTGTATCAGCTTTTCTTAACATGACAGTCGTATCATGTCATAATTGTTGTGCTAACTACCGCTGAATTTGATCGAAAGGTAAGGACTACACTGACGGATTTCTGCATGCCTCATCGACGATCATATGTAATCGCATTGTCAGGTCTACTAAAGAAGTGCGGCAGCCGTCGTCTACTGAACGTTGCTGATCTCAGCAAAGGACAAGAAAATGCGTCGCATATTTCGTGACAAACGACTCATGTTCACATAGAGTTAGAGCAGACGAACGTAGAGGATATACAACGCTGCTAAAGCTTTACGAGATCGATCACGTGGTAGACAGGAGAAGTGTCCTCTTTAGACTTAATATACAGAGTAAAGAGTCTGTGCATAGAAGTCATTATGCTGCGTTTGCGTCCGATCGAATCGATGTTGAATATCGATGCGCAAAAGTCGTTTATACTTGGCTTCCACTAGTAGGACTGTTTTCAAGAATGGACAAATTTGAGATATAAAACCAAGCAGCGTCGAAAGAAAATTTCTATGATAATTGCAAGATAAACGATTCTGTGCAACCATGTAATCGCTCTTTTTCTCAATATTGGCTAAACTGAAGAACCTCAAACGGCTCAGTAGCGTCACAAGAAATCAGTCACTTTGAAAGAAGCCTAATTGCGGAAACGACGTTGTGCTACCGATGTATTCTAATAAGCGTCTTTGACAGTGGCCAGTACATCAATCAGTAATTTGCTGCAGCCAACGCATGGCCATATGTTCTGCTGTTGGTCATGATCATGCTGCATTCTTGGATCGCCAATACAAAATCGCGTAGATCGTTCATATTTCTATTTCAGTTGATTAAGATGTCTGCAAAACGTAGGTGAAGATAATACGAGATTGCCAAAAACTCGGTGTTGGTATGATTCACGTTTATTATTTGAAATAGACGAACAGCGCCATTTGTCATCTGTGCAAACATTGTCATTGTAACTTCAGTAAAACTCAATTTTGGACCACTGAAATTTACGGCATTTCGGATGCCATCGGATTAGTAGAAGAACGGTTTTTATGTAGAAGAGTGTGCCAGACAGCATCTGGTTGATTATGTCTCTGAATGCTGGCAAATTATTTTCGACGTAAAATATTTTAAAAAATATAATTCATTGTAATCATCGATTTATTCACAACTTTGTTCGATACTCGTGACGGTTTTCTCATGATAATTTAAAGTGATTATTGAGTTAAGCCTGATGTCATATGTTATGCAGTACACTGTAATATTCTGGTTCCACTTAACGGTGACTCCGATTATGAAATCAGTCGCTGCTAGCAGTAAGCAGCGCAACGATTAAATTAAAGTTAGCGTTACTGTTAGTCTATCTTGTGGAGAAATTTTTCTGGTAAAGAAAACACCTCTGAAAAATTTATTGTCCTTATAAATAATTACGTAGTTCGAAAAGAATTGTCGAATCCTTGCTTGATCTTGTCTTCGCTTTCGATCGGTAGTTCAAGGCAACACTTTAAAAGCGAAATAAGCGATTCTTTAGTTACTGCCGCGTTTTAACGCCGTACACCCGCAACATTTCCCAAAAAAACAGTTTTCGATGTCCCAAACTTTAAAAACAGTGTATTTCGATGTACAACGTGAAGTCTATTGCTATCAGTGAACCTGAAGATCAGTTTTGTAATGTTTTCGACTGTAACAACGCGTATTTTGCTTTACCTGATATTGCGGGTTGTATGGCAGCTAATTATTAAATAGCGAAATAAATATTTTAACATCATATTTTGCTTCGAGCCGTTACTAGATGGCAGCAGAATTCTCAGATTCATAGCATAGCAAGAGGACAGCTTCAAAATCTTTGTTTTTAGAATGGTTCTCTTTTTCGTTTGTTGTACAAATAGTTTAGAAAGATTTCATAAGCGCATAACCTCATTGCAATTCAGCAAGCTACGTCTGCAAAGCATTTGCATCAATTTGTGGCAAAGTACCTTGGCCATGTTTGGCACTGTAGCCCTCAGGTTGGATAACGAACTTTAATTCATACACTTTTGTAGTAGTTTGAGTTTTTAGAGAATTGCTTTAATTTACCAGTAAAAAATGCTTTCTTCCTAACCATCTAAATTACAATGGGAAACAAATGGAAAAAGAGATACAGTGGTAAGGCAGTTAGTCAGAATCTCTCGTGGTGCAACAAGAGGTGCGTACCAAATTTAGACGCACAGGTTTTCTCTCATGTTTACTGAATTATGGTAAGAGCACTGTAGGTTATTTCTGGTATATTGCTTCTGGAATCATATTCCTTCGGATAACTCTTTTTCGAATTACTTTGGTTAATGGCGTTGTTCATTTTCTTGCACTGCAGAATCTTTTGCAGATTGAAAACCAGGGTTGATACACATGTACAATTTCTGTTGTTTAATGTGTGAAGAATGCATTGATAATAGTGCTGTAGAAATTCGAATTGAGGATGCCTTTGCCGACGTAACCCTTGTTGGCATTTTATTATTTGAATTTGCCGGTTTCTTTAAAATACAGAACTAAACTTGTTAACGTAAGTCGCTATAACTTCTGTCATATTAGCGTCATTGCGTAATTATTTAATACGTAGTATACTGTATGCGTGTAATAGTCAATGCATAATTATTTAGACGTTTGATTCTGCAGTGCAAGAAACTTTGCAAGGAAAACAGCAAAATGCGGAATACGAAAACTGTATGCTATTTTTTAACAGCGAGCGGTAGTAAAAGAATGCAATACTCTGTATGCGATAGTCCATTTCACTCACGGAGCACATTTTAACGTTCGAATTGCTAGATTTCGAAAAAAACAATTATCACTGAACAAAACTGGCGTGTCTAATCCATTGCAGAGGATGTCCCTCACGAAAGAATGATTATATCATTGACATCATTTGTAGCTTTTGAGGTAGCAATCCCCAGTTGGTTTAATTGCAGTAGTTTAGTTGGAAGATATTACTCACAGGCATTCACGTTGCGATTTTTCGTTTGTCCCTCATATCACTTATTTAGAGCCATAATTTCATCAGGTTAATTATAAACGTCATAGGTCATCGAACCGAGTGATGTCTGGAAACGTGTTATTTCCCATCTTTTTTCTGAATTCTCCAACCTTAAAGTCATATCCTATACATTTCGCTAATATTCGAATAAATTTTTTCTCTGTAAAACGTACATCATCGTTTGACTCTCTCTTTCTCTAATCATATCCGCGTAAAGAGCCTGTTTCGCTGAACGGTTTGTTTAAGGGCTGTTCAATGCCCATTGTTGTAAAGCTGGCCGACACTCAAAAGGACAAAGAACAAAAGAAAGCCCAGCAGTTCAGCGTCTTCGGCTTACCTGCCGGCGCGGCGGTCGCCTCTGTGCCGATGCAGCAAAGCGACCCTGCTTTAAGCGGTTCATATTTGACGGTAATATTTTATTTTTGATTTTTTGCCTTGCGTTAAGTCGTTCTTTTTGCAGCCCGGTCTCAGCGCCGCAGGTATTAACTGGCAACAACTAGCTCTTCTTGCGGCCGCCGTCCAGGGCAACCCGAATGTGGCCGCGTTAGGCAGTTTCGGCGGTCTCGCCTCGTACGCCGGCGCCAATCCAGCTATGACCTGTACGAGTCTTGTTTTGCGGGTTTTTGTCTTTCACTTACGGTCTGGTATTTTAGTGGGAGGCGTCACCGCAACGCCTGTTACCGGCTACTCAAACCTGGCTGCTTTCGCCAACGCTTTAGCTGCCATGTCGTGCGCAAACCAATGTGAGTGTTTGTTACTCATTCGTACATGAATTTCGCCGTTTCTGAATATCCCTCGTTTGCTCTGCACTTTTTCTATGCTTAGGAGTCAGACGAGTATACGACGAAGTGTAATGTATCACAGTTGCTTACATTCTTATTAAATAATTTCATTTCTTAAACGCGTATCCCTACCATA